TATATACAATATAATACGAGTCGAGCCCGGATTATATTTTAATAAAATTTAATCGAGTCAAGTTTTTTATTTTAATTTCTTTCAAACTATCAACCTAAAGATATATTTAATGCTGACGAAACAGGACTTTTTTATTATATGCCATCAAATTGTACTCTTGCTACTTTAAAAAGTATTGCTGGATATAAAAAAGATAAGACACGAGTTATAGTTTTTTTAGGATATAATTCAATTGGTTCTGAAAAATTAAAACCACTTGTTATTGGAACAGCAAAAAATCCAAGATCACTTAATAAGGTAAACAAAACCTTACTTCCTGTAGAATATCATGCAAACAAAAAAGCTTGGATGTGATCTGATATTTTTATTTCTTGGCTCAAATCATTAAACAAAAAATTTGCTTCCAAAGCTCATTATATTCTTATGCTTGTAGATAATGTCCCATCACATTTTCAACATGGAGAAATACCTCAATTCAGTAATATAACAATTCATTTTCTTCCTCCCAATTGTACAACTTATCTTCAGCCAATGGATGCTGGCATTATAAATGCTTTTAAAATTATTTATAATGTCTTTATCTTCAAAATATAGTTAATCGTTTTGAGGAACAAAAACTTGTAGATGCTTCAAGTTTACACAAAATTGAAATTCGTACAGCAATAGATTTTATTTTTAATTCTTGGAATGAGATAAGCGATACAACAATTGTAAATTGCTTGAATCATACTGGAATTTTTTCTAACCAGCTATTAATACCGATAGATATTCAAGATAATTCTAATAATAATATCAAAGTATTCAATCTATTCTTGATCAAGTAGTTTCTATATATCCTGATGTAATGAGTGCTCAGAAATATTTAGAAATTGAGAATAATCTTAAGACCGATGCACTAGAAATGCCTACTATTAATGATATTATTGATCATTTGCAGGAAATAGACCTTACAAATAGCAGCGACAATGATGATGATAATATTGAACAAGAAACAATTAAAATTAGCATGAATATGGGAATTGAATATGGAAAGAATTTTTTAATATTTTTATAACAACAAGATAAAATAAATGAGAAGGATGTAATTAGTATTAGAAAGACGTTAAGGCATCTAAATAGATTAGTTAATGATGCCAAAAAACAAAAAAAAGTTACTGATTTTTTTCGAAATAATTAGTAGGTTAATGGTATTACTTAGAAGCGCTAAGATTATACCACACAATTTTTGTCGGGCTATGATAGTATAGAGTAATATGAAGTTTTATATAGTGTATATATTTTCATAAGATCAGAATAATTTATTATATTATTAGGTAATATTTGTAAATTTTTACAGAAATATATATGGATTTTTATAAATAAATTACATTTCAAAAGTTTTGAAAATTCATATAAACATGTATTTTTCTAAATGCGCTTTAATTCTAATTACTAAACTCTAATTACTTCCTTTTATATTGCTACTGAATTGTGCATGTATTTATATATGCACCTATTTTTTATATGATCGCTAGTCTACACTATTCTAGAAATTTCCCCTTCACTAAACTTTTCCACACTAATTTTTCTACCTTAATTCCCCTACAATTCGCAACAACAGGATAATATAATGTTGCACGCCTGTGCCGATTTTACCAATAACATTTTTTCCCATGCTTATCTTATGCATACTGTATATAAAATCACTTTCAGAATCAACATTTATTGTTGGTAATAGGGGTAAAATATTGGATAGTGAGATCTCTGATGATAATATTGCATTAACTAGGTCACGTGATGGGAGGGAAACTCTAATTCCCTTGATCTTTTTCTTCAATATTATGTCAACATCAAGTTCTATCACGAGATTGCAACAAAGTATGCTTATAAGTTGTTAACGCATCTCAGGTAGGTTATGTGATTCATTCGTCTTGTCATTCCACGTATATGTTCTTATATTTAGCTCCCCTGCACCTTGATCAATCTATATTTGTTTTGTCTGATCGGGTAATATCAATAATGCAGATGATGTGTCGCATTATCTCTGTGAATTCTGATTGTGGTTTTCCCTTATTTGTCGTTATTATTATGACGTCGTTTTATTGTCCCCTTCTCTATAGGTCTTTTTTCCGTTACCTCCTTTTTGTATCTTAATAGTGATAGCGATTCTTCCAGTCGTGCTACATCTACAGTACCATTCAATACGACCAATCGGACTGTAGTGATGAGCTCAGACTCACTGGTTGGCTCCTCCGTGATGTATACTTCTCTCTTATTATCCCTCTCACGATTAGTTCTCCATGCCTTGATTAGAATTGTACTTTTTTTGCTTGATGTCATCCCTAATACTAATGCTAATGATGTATTGTTCTGTCCCAACTCCTTGTCTGGCATTCTTCTTGATGTTCCGATATTAGTTATTATATTTTTCCACTCTCCTTTTCTTGTTTTCTCCAGGTTTCCATCTGGAAATAAGGATGTACTGGGGTTCATGTCTGATTACAGTTTTCCTTCACTTGTCCTTATTGGCATGTTGGTATCTTGTTTCTTAATGTTATTTTCCCCCTTTTCTTCATAGGTTTTTCTTTAATAACCTCTTTCTTATTTCCTCTTATTGACAGCAATACATTCATAATAGGGCTTGGAATACTTGATTGTAAGCTTGTGGTAAGATAAAATCTTCTGGACAGTTCTTTAACGATGTGGCATTCCTGCTCACCTATCATTGGTAACTTCTCCATTGGTGTGGTGACTTCTCATCTCTTAATCAGTAGAAGTGCATCATTATAATCATCTTCAATTTTTTTTGTGCTGAATAATAGTCTGTTCGTTTGGGATATTTTATTAGTTGAGTCATTCTTCTGCAAGCAGTTATCTATCTTCTCTTTATCAAAATAATTTTGGCCACCTCTTCCCATAGTGTTCCTGATCCGATCGCAACATTTTTAGCAAGAATGGAGATTTGTGATAGCTTATACTAGAGATGTTATCAGTTCCGTAGTTAAAAAATAAATTTTTAAAATCATGAATTTTAGAAATGTCCAATAGCTTATATTTAATAAGTAACCCTTTATAAAAAGTGATCGTAAGTCATATTAATGACTTTAAAAAGTTTTATTAAAAAAGCAACAATTTTGTTGGGACTGATAGGACTGGACTGGTTCCAGACCATGGTCCTAGCATTATATTTTAAGAATATTCTACTCTAGAAAAGTTAATTCGTCAATCTCTAATAAGTAACCTTTGTTAAAAAATTATTATAACCATATTTTATTAGTGATTTATGGCAAAAAAAATTTAGCAATTTCTTTGGAACCAATTTAAAATCGATAACAACCCTAGTTTATACACACCTCTTTGATGTTACGCTAATTCTTAGGTCTTGTTTCTTAATTCTTTCGTCTTTTTTGTTGATACTTTTATATAAAGCTCGAACTTCACATATTATTCGATTCTTTTCATCTCCTCTATTATTTTTTTCAGTATAGCATTATTCCTAATGGTGAGTGTTGCTATAATTCTTTTACTTTACCCTCTTACAAACTTTCACCTCAACCCTTTCAACTCTTTTTAGCATATCCTGAAATCATTATATGTACCTTATGCACATTTCAACAGCATATATTGCTCTATGCTGCTACTGTTCACGGTTTAGAAGTATGGATCCACTTATAGAAATAGTATAAGGAATATTGTGCTTTATGCTAAAGAGAAATAATCAGAGAACAAATATTAGAGGGACAATGTACAAAGTTTTTTATATGAAAAGCTTTAACAATATATGTCAATAATTTTTTAAGTTTCTATTATTGTATTATCATATAACCATTGAATATAATAACAATTGGATACAGTAATATAAATGGCTTCCCCCAATTACGTTACTATAACCAGCATTGACTATATATAGAAATCCCCAATTAATATGTGTTATTAATTACTGTTTATGTATTTTTATTCTTTTAAAAATAAATAGGATTATTTGAATATTTATTTTTGAAATAAATTAATCATATTATTTAATTATGTAATTTATTAATAATTTTAATAAATAATTTAATATTATTATTAATTTTTTATTTTTAAAGATTAATTTCTGATTTTAAAGATTTATAGAATCAAAAATATTTTATATTATTATTTTTTTTTTTAATGCTAAGTGAGGCCTTCTTATGCTTTATTAATATAAGTAATTAATGTAATATATTTTACAAAATCAAGAAAATGAGATATATGACTATACATATTGGCCTGCCACTATAACAGATATATCATTTAAAAAACCTTGAGACAAAGAAAACATGAGGAACTATTTGTTAAAAAATAAAAAAATAAAAAAAACATTCGGGCAGAATCGCCATTATAAAAGAATGTGAAGAGTTTTGTTAAGAAAGAAAGTGTTTATGTGATGAAATTATTTATATGCTTCTCAAATATGTAACATCAGATGAGAACATATAGTTGGTATTTTAGTGAGAAAAACGTTTTAATGATATTATGTGATAGGGTTCAGGGTATATTATCTTTTATCCAACAATCCCTCCCGCAGGGCACAGATACAATGTGTCTACCTAGGTCCAAGGCTTCCTTTTCAATAGTTGGGCGTGAATCCAACATGGTAGCAGAACACTGGCATAAGCTGCCAGATTATGGAGCGCAACTCCTTGGTATTTCACTTTCACTCAAAATAAGATTTCTCTTATTCACATTGATCAGGCTTTAGCTACCTTTTTTCTTTAACAGTAGTATTTTTGCTCATGGGGTGCAATTCCATTGTTAAAGATAATGTAAGAATTTTGTTTGTGTAGTTGGACATTATGTTGTGTTGTGGCTGTGTTGTCAGTGTTTTGGTTTGATACTGCCAGAACCCGCACAGGGCACTGGTCACGTGCTCTCCCAATCCAACATTGTTGTGTTATTTTGATTTTGTTTTTGTGATACAAAATGTGATTGGTATATGATGAGTTGTAGATCTTTTGGTGGAGGTAAACTGATTTCAGTTTTTTGTGAGAAAAATATTGGCAAGAACTAATGACTAGCCAGAGGATATGGAGAATCTTTTACTAGTTATTATCAGTAGAAAACAAAAACTCTAAAAAAATAAAATACTGTCTCTTGTGTATGTTTATATTGAGTGTTGTTTGATTATATTTTAAAGATTATGATTATTTGGTGTGAAAGAAGGCCTAAACATGAAAAAGCTTTTTATTCATCTTCTAATGACCAAGCTATTTGACCAATACTTTTTACAAAGTACTAGACTTTCTTGAGTGGGCCATTGCCATCCTTCCCTAAGGTCTATTGCTGGAACCTATACTACTCAATAGCAGTTCTTAGGATTATATTTCCTATTTCAAAAAAAATATAATCCACTAGTCAAAGTTTCTTAAAAGAAAGAAGATTTCTTAAAAAGGCAATTTTTATAAAAGGAGTTGTTTGTGGAAAAGAGTTTTTTTTTAATTTTAAGAGTTATATAAATTTAATAAAGAAAAAAAATTTTTTTTTTAAGATTTAATTAATTATAGTAAAAATTAAAATTTTAAAATATAAAATAAGAAATATTTAAATATTTGAAAATTTGAAAATTTAATAATAGGACTTTTAATGATACCATTTTAATATTACTTCAATATTAATTCAATACTTAATTTTACTATAAATTTATATAAGTAAATTATAACCTATATATTAAATTTATTATAGATTAGTATTATTTTAATACTACTTCAATATTAGTTTAGTATTTTTAAAATCTTATCTAATAACAATATTATTATGTAATTATTTCAATAACTAATTATTTAATATTAATAAATTTTTTTATATGAAAATTTTTAACAAAAACTTTAAAATAAATATTTATTTATTAAATAATATTATATATTAATAAAGATATCAATATTTTAATATTTTTGGAATTTAAACTTAAAAATTTAAAATCTGAAAATAAATAACAATATTATTATATAATTATCTTGATTATATATATGATGGAATTGAATTTAATTATTTTTTAAAAAATATATTATAATAAAATTACTAAATAATATAGTAATTAATTGAAAATTATATTTA